TCAAACTGACCCCCCCCCCCCCCCCCCGCCTTAATGAAGCCCAGAGCACAGAAATAGCATTAATTGACTTTCAGAGCAAGGAGCATTAATGATGTCTGACCTTTCATGCTGGGCAGCACCCTGCCCTGTCTGCTGTGTCCGGGGGTGTTGTCTGGGGAACGATGGGGGGGCCTGGCTACCGCGACCGCAATACCCACCGGAGGCTGTCGCACTTCCCCCTCACCTGCCTCCCCCGCCTCCTTCCCCCCTCGCTCTCCCCTCTCGCCCTCGTTAGCAGAGCCTCGGCGAGGAGGCAGCGACTGTTTGGGAGGGTCTTGCTGGGAGGTGTTGCTTTTAGCTCCTCCTCCCTTGTCCCCTTTCTCTGATCTCTCTCCACCCTGCTTGAGGCAGCCCAGGCCTCCAAATGGGCCTCGATGTGGCAGCAGAAGAGGCTGCTGGGAGCTGTAGTTCATTAGGTTCTTCATGGCACTGCCCTCGCCCTCCGCGTTGTGCGTTGCGGAGCGGGATAGAGGTGGAGGCTGGTCACTGTTTGGAGCTCTGGAGCTGATCCCTCTTACTTCACTGTTACCACCTGATGCATGATGGGAGCCTTTCCTCTGGTCCTCTTGAAAACCCCCTTGAGCCCCCCAGGAAGATGCAGTCTGTCCTCCATCTCTTCCCCTCTCTTCGGTACTTCCTCCATGGCTGCTGTGCTGCTGGTGCCGTATCCTTGCCACCTTTTGTCCTTCCCTTTGAGACGCTGACCCCGATCTCCCATCAGGACCTGAGAGGGAACAATCCCTAAATGAAGGAGTTGAGCTATTCTTGGATGTCCCCTGTCCGGCACTAGGCTGCGTCCCCTGGGCCTCGAGTGGGAGCGAGGGCCGGTAAACGTCGTCCACCACCTCTACGTCTCTGAAGGATGTGTCCAGGCTGCAGGACGTCAGCTCGGGCTGCCCGTTGGGTTTGTTGAAGTGCTGCGTCTGGTGGCTCCAGTCGGGAGGTTTGTCGGCTTTTCCATATCCCAACTGCTGCTGGTGCGGCTGGGATTTGTCCTTCTTTTGGCAACTCATTCGACTGTGATGATGAGAGGAACTGTCATAGGATCCTTCTCCACTCTTCTCATCTGACTTTCTTCCACCTCCTCCTGCTCCACGACAGTCTGAGGCGGACAGGTCTCCAAGTGGCCCAGCTGAGGGTACATAAGTCGGGTTGATTGCTTTCCCGTCTCTGCCGGACCCTCCAGATGCTGGATCTTTGGAGGGCGTGAGGGTAAGAGGGGCTGGGGGACAGTAAAACTCCGGATGAGGGTGGTGATGTGCATGGTGTAGCCACCCTGTGGAGCCCATGTGCAAAGCGTGAGGAGGAGGTGGCGGAGGGGGTGGAGGAGGCATGGAGTAAGAAGTCACAGAGTGAGGGTTTGGAGGCGCCAATATGGCCGATGTTGCACCTCTTCTCATACATTCATTGGAAGAAGAAGCTGAGGATTCGCTGATCCTCATCTCCCCGTTTACAGAGCCATCCTTGGAGCAGCGCCTGCCTGATGGAGGTCTACCAGCTCCACCACTGCAGCTGCTCAGAGATCTGTCCCTTCCTCCCGTCTCTGCTGTCGGACCACCACTGGACAGTTTACAGGCACTCATATGTTTCTCCTGACTGTCACTGTACTCCTTGTGTCGCTCCAGAGGGTGTCTGTGGTCCTCCTCCCTGCCTGTGAGGTGAGGAAGAAGAGCGTGGTGAGGGTGAGGGTGGGGGTACGCTTGGTGGTGGTGGCCGGCCGGAGGGTTCGTTTGGTGGTGATGATGTTGTTTGTCTTTGCTCTCCTGGTGCCGCTCCTTGCTGCTCGATCGCTCCTTCGCCTTCGACACGGATGATACTCCTTTCTCGCCGACGTCCTTGGTGCTCTTCCCGCCTCCTCCGCCTCCCCCGTTGTCCGTCTCTCGGCTGCAGGAGCCAAGTGGGTGGCCTGGTCTGGAGAGGGGGGGGAGGCTGTGACTGGTGGAGAGCAGGGGGGGCTGGGGAGGAAGGCCTCTCAGGTAGAAGTGATCTGGAGGAAAATAAATGAAGTTACTAAAGTTCAAGGTTTGAGATTTGAGAAAAGTTGCAGTTGCTTTCATTAGGGATGCCACAATATCAGATGTTCGCTACATGATTATCGTTGCCAAAATAATTAACCGTTAAAATATTCTCATAAAAAAGGCTACAAGTCATATTCATCTAGAGTTTTGTTTATTGTGAGTTTTGACTCTTTTTGGGAAATTAATTATACGCAAACGCGATTTTTGTAATCAATTTTTTTTTAACATGATACCAATATTTATTTTTTATATATCACAGTTATTGAAAAGGGAAAACCACCAAAAAGCATGATAGGGCCCATTTCAAAAGCACCATATTTAAATGTGTCATAGTTATGTAGAAAAAATGAAATAAAAAATATGTAACTTGCAAAACTAAACCACAAGTGAACAGCTGTTTTTAGTCCTGTGAAGAGTGCTGATTGAGCAGGAAGTATATATGT